CTTAAGAAGGGATTCTTACAACACTCTCCTTCACTTTCTACAAAGGTGTTTGGCATCCGAGGTTGAGTGGCATCTTCTGGGTCAAATGTGAACATTGGTGAGCTCCTGAGCCACAGCCTTCTCAGAACTGAGCTAAAGTCGGCCACTGTCCTCCAGGTGGCCAACCCACTTCTCCCGCCCTACCCACCGGCTCTCCCACCTTTTGACCATGCCACCACTCAGCGTAGCTCGTCTGCAGGCTGAGCTCGACGCCCCTGCCCGGACTTGAGAGTTCACTCGCCCTGCGCCAGCACCCTCTGTCTGTGAAACCTCAGGTCCGCGGCAGTAGGAGACAGGCGCAGGCGCCCCGAGCCTTGCGGAAGGGAGGGGAACCGGAGAGAGAGAAAGAAAGAGATCCAGAAGGGTGTGTGTGTGTGTGTGTGTGTGTGTGTGTGTGTGTGTGTCTGTGTGAGAGAGAGAGAGAGACACACACAGAAAGAGACAGAGACAGAGAGAAACAAGAGACAAGGAGAATGAGAGTGAGGAAAAGAGGGAGAGAGGATGGGGCAGAGGAAAGAGAATGAAAGAGAAATGATAGACCAGGTTGGCACACAAAATAAACGAGTTTCCTCTTCCAGATCGAAAAGAGACAATAAGTTAGAGAGACCGAGAGAGAGCAGAGGCGGAGGGGGATGCACACAGAGGGGCCGGTAAACCCCCAGGCACACACCCCAGCTCTGTCCTCCAATCTGACTTCCCTCGCAGCGCTGTCTCTCAGTACTAGCCTTTCTCTCTTTCCTTTCCCCGACCCCGGGACAATGCGGAGCCTGTATTTCCAGGAGCCGCGCGGGGCGGCAGGGTTTTTAGCAGCAAGCCGGGCTCGAAGCCCGCTCTGTTTGTCCAGGTGTGGGCGGGGGGCGGCGGTCTCCCGGCGTCGTGGGCTGGCGCTGGGTTTTCTCACCAAGGAAGCGGGAGGCTCCACTCGCGGCTTCCCGCTTCCAGGAGAAAACTCTCTCCCTCCTTACATATATAAATATATTAGGGGAACAGACAAATCTTCATTGTTCGGGAACAAGCCGAGGAGGCCGACCGGCTCCCCTTGGCCCCGCCGAACGAGCCTGGAAGGGAGGGAGGCAGAGAGGCGGGGGCCGCGCGGATCCGGTGTCACGTTGCAGATTCCCACTAAAGATAACGAAACGTGATCTATTTTTCAGAACAGCAAGTGGATGGGAAAGAACCTTGACAACACAAAACTCATTTACTAATGGACTGGTTTTGAGTTTCTCTTCTCGGGGTCCGCAAATCTCCCTGCCTGAGCCCTCGGCCTATTCAGACCTCGCGGGGAGCAGCGTCCCCCCAGGAGGCAGGTGGGCGGCTTCTCCCGCCGCGGCGCCGCGCTGGCCGTCGGATCCCGGGATCCCAAGGGTCGAGGGCACCCGGAGTTTCCGACCAAGCGGAGAAAAAAGATGAATGTTGTCACTTCAGCCAGGATTTGGGGAGTCTCCTCACCGCCCTAGAGCGACGACGCTAATTTACTGAAGAAGCACCTCTCGACGCTCTTTCCTTCCAAGTATCTGTAGGTAGAGTAGGATCCCCGCTGTGGTTCTTGAAGGCAAAGGAATTCCGAGAAAGCAGGGCCGGGAGACCCAGTACATCTCTCTCCAAGCCATAAGAGAAACAAGTGGGGTCCACACAGAAATTTTTGAGCTGAGGCCTTATATCGATCCCGCCGAGAAACCCCACCAGCAACTAGTGCATTGGCCTTTTCCATAAACCAGTTGTGCGCGCGTGGCGGTTACCTGCACAGAGGAGGCACAGAAGCGCCGAAACCTGGCGTCGGGCTCCCCTCGCCACCCGCGTTACCCTCGGGAGCCGCCGAGAAGCAGCAAGGGCAGAGGCTATAGTTGCTCGTTCCCTTTAAATCTCCGACGCATCTCTGTTTTTCGTGTGATTTGCATTGACAGCAAAGGTTTTAAGTTACTAGAACAACTCAAACCTTTCTGTGTGCGATTTAAAATGGATCATTTGGTTTATGTGGTTTGTAAATTCATGTCATTTTACCTCTTTTAGTGGTTTTCACTGAAAGGCTCCATTTTGGGAAACCTTATATATCCGAGCCAACAATTAACATTTATAACAATTGGTTTCCCTAACCATGGGATCGAAATAGCAGGTAGGCTCATTGGTGCAAAGCGAATAGCACTTCTCCTTTCTAGTTACGCGATCTATTGGATTAAACGCAAGGAGAAATGCTGGCTGGCCCGAGCGCGGCCTCTGAGGACTAGCACCACAGCTCATCAACCCCGGTGCCCGCAATCGCGGCACCCACACAGTCGTCTCCCCAGTCGTCGCCAACGTCTATCGCGTCTTTGTTCCTTTTGAAGAAAGATGAAAAGAAATGGGCAGAGAGGTCTGGAGGAAGCGGAAAAAAAGGTGGTCATATTGGTGTCTAATTGCCGCCTTTCTGCTCCTCATCCTCCCCTGTAAATTTATACCTGCCCTTATTTGTCCAAGCTATGCCTCATTTCCTTATACAAAATTGTTAATTATGAAGTCCACCCCACACTCAACTTACCGTTTGTCTTTAAAGACAGGCGGCTGTACTTACAGACCCTCCACCCCCTACACACACATTTTAATTCTGCGCACTTGCTCCAGACTTGAGGGTATTAACTGATTTTTAGAGCGGAGTTTAAACCTCCGTTCCGGTCTTCACACAGCTGCCATGTCAATAAGGACTATTCCAAGCAGAGACGTTCCTTCTGGCAGGACACTGCAGCTCCTTAAGGCTTCATCTGAAACATCATGAGCACTAAAATAAGACGGCGAGGGAAAATTACCAGACACATGGGCTTGGGCTCAGGCGTGCCAGGCTTCCAGTTTAGAAAGTAAGTCATTGGGCACACCATGTGGTAGGGGCTCTTTTGAAATACTATGCACCCATTAAATGCATTTAAAAAATAACCCTAAAGGTAATGAAATATCAGCATCTATTTCCAACGTCTAATTGCACAGGATACTGCAGACTTTTAAGGATGCAAAATGCATTGTGTGTGGGAGTTTGGGGGAGAAGCAGCTTCTCTCTACTCCGAATCTCTGGAGAGACAGCCAGGAGGGTGAAACGCTTCATGAGTTTAAAATATATATTGCAGGGTGCACTGAACTGGGCACATTATTTTAAAACCATATATACATTATATAGGGGGAAACTTCCGCAGTGTTCCTTCTCCCACTTATGTCTCAATATGTAAATGGCTCTGTGGAGCTGGGCTCTGGCTCGTGGACTCAAAACATATTTGAAGAAGACAAGCAAGTTTAAAGAGCCTAGAGTCTGTTCTTCGCATTCACTAAGAGGGTGCATTTAAATCAAAAGCATTTTTGAAGTGTACTTAAAATTCTGTTTTGAACTTATCTAATCAGAGATAAGTATAGTTATAAAGTCACTCTCCTTCTACCATTCTGCTCTCCTTATCTGCCAGCATTGTTCTTATCTCCTGCCAGTCTCAGCTACTGACAATAGATTATCTTTGTTTAGAGACGCTAATTGTTTTCAAAATCTTTTTAATAATTGCTTTGGAACAAGGTGTGCAAATGAGGCTTAAGATAATTACAGCTTTATTTGTTTGTGCAGTTTTACTAAACATTCTCCACATATACACAAAATAACAGATGATGGGGCTGAAATTGCAGGACATCTCTCATTCTATCGCAGTAAAATAGGCCAGCATTGCAATCTACACACACACACACACACACACACACACACACACAC